CCTTTTAGTCCTTTTTTTTTTTTTTCCCCCCATATTTGTCATCTCCTTCTAGATATTAAAGCTACTTGAGCTTGGCGAGAATCTGTTTAATATTTGAATCTTAGCCTAGCATTGTTCCTTGTACATTATGGATGCTCAGCACATGTAGATTGAAGAGTGGCTGTTTGAGTCAATATTTAGGAGGTAAGCCAACATTGTTCCCTACTAAAAGCTATTCTTGTGCTCTCTTTGATAGTGACTTTAGGAGACACTTTAACTCGACGGTCCATTAGCCAGCAGAAGTCTGGAGTTTCCATTACAATTGATGACCCAGTTCGAACTGCCCAGGTGCCCTCCCCACCCCGGGGCAAAATCAGTAACATCGTCCATATCTCCAATTTGGTAAGTCATTGGGATTGAACATGGGGATTGAACCTTTGAGCTACAATCCCCAATCTTCTCTTTATTTATTTTTTTGGAGACAAGTTGCTAATGCTAGCCTTGAACTTCCAAACTTCCAGTCTTCCTCAGCCTCCCAAGTTAGGATTATAAATGTGTACTACCATACCTGGCCCACATTCCAGACTTTTAGTTGTTAAAAGAGTTTGAGCTTTGGGCTCGTGCATCTGAGGTTGAACACCAAGATTTGCCAGTTACTCATTTCCTGACCTTGAATAAATACTTTTAATCATTTTCTAAGACTGGATATATGGATGTTCTTGCCCTCTCCAAGACCCTGAAAATCTTTTCTTTTTTTTTTTTTTTTTGCAGTAGTGGTGATTGATCCAAGGATCTCATGCATTTTGGGGCAAGTGCTTAACCACTGAGCTTTATTCCCAGCCCTGAAAATCTATTTTCATTGGCAGGTTCGTCCCTTCACTTTAGGCCAACTGAAGGAATTGTTGGGACGTACAGGAACCTTGGTGGAAGAGGCCTTCTGGATTGACAAGATCAAATCTCATTGCTTTGTAACGGTGAGGGGAAGAAAATGATTCTATAGGTTGTGGTGTATATTTCCTTATGTGACCAGTGTGGCTTAAGGGCATTGTGGCAAGTGAGAAGATTGAAGTTATACCATGACTCTCTGCCTTCTCCCTCTATAGTACTCAACAGTAGAGGAAGCAGTTGCCACCCGCACAGCTCTGCATGGGGTCAAATGGCCCCAGTCCAATCCCAAATTCCTTTGTGCTGACTACGCTGAACAAGATGAGGTAAGAAACTTAAGGAGAGGAAGAAGGGGAGACAGGGGAAACCATTTTCTGCTACATTCCAGCTGAGACACTGACCAAATCTGTAGTCACTGAGATTATTCATCTCTCTTCTCCCTGCCTACTTAGTTCCCTTAGTTGAACTAGAGCTCCTCAAAGTGCCTGTACTCCTGGGTCTCTGTAATGGGAGTGATAGTGTCTCCAAACTGACTGTACTTGTTCCTCCTCTGCCCACAGCTGGACTACCACCGGGGCCTCTTGGTGGACCGTCCCTCTGAAACTAAGACTGAGGAACAGGGGGTACCCCGGCCTCTTCACCCTCCGCCTCCACCCCCAGTCCAGCCACCACAGCACCCACGGGCAGAACAGCGGGAGCAAGAACGGGCAGTGAGGGAACAGTGGGCAGAACGGGAACGGGAAATGGAGCGACGAGAACGAACTCGATCAGAGCGGGAATGGGATCGTGATAAAGTTCGAGAAGGTCCCCGTTCCCGATCACGTTCCCGTGATCGCCGCCGCAAGGAACGTGCAAAGTCTAAAGAGAAGAAAAGTGAGAAGAAAGGTATTTAGTTGTGGGGGCATATGTGTCCCCTAGGTGGTGGGACAGAGACCCAAAGGGGAGATGGGTCAGGGTCATGTGCATCATGTGATTCATATTCTTACACCTCAGAGAAAGCCCAGGAGGAGCCACCTGCCAAGCTGCTAGATGATCTTTTTCGTAAGACTAAGGCAGCTCCCTGCATCTATTGGCTCCCACTTACTGACAGCCAGGTGAGTACTCTGCTTCATGCTCAAAGTTGCAAGACTTGAGGTCAGTGGGAGAGGATATTCACATGGCTGAAAGTGAATAGGCCCAGATATTGGCTTAGGATAATAAGGGAAGTCAGTGACTCAGGAGGCTGAGGCAGGAGGATTGCAAGTTCAAAGCCAACCTCATCAACTTAGCAAGACCCTTTCTCAAAAAATAAAAAGGACTAGAGATGTGGCTCAGTAGTAAAGCACCCCTGGGCTTATTCCCCAAAGCAAACAAAAAAAGGAAACAATTGGATGAGTATGCCAAAGAAGAAACAAACCTGAAGGCTGAAGATGCAGCACAGTGGTAGAGTGCTTGCTTAGACTGTTTGAAGTCCTGGGTTCCATCTCCAGCACTGCCAGATAAATAAATAAACCAAATCTGAGTGAAGATGATCCTGTTCCTAACAGGAACTGAGGTTTGTAGGCATCTGAGAAGCTGGCTTATATTTGTTTGCAGAACTGGGGCTTGAACCCAGGATTATTGTACTACTGAGCTATATTCCCAACCCTTTTTATTTTGAGATAGGGCTTCACCAAGTTGCCAGAACTGGCCTTGAACTGTAGCTGGGATTACAGGCCTGGCTAAGAAATCTGTTTTATAAAGTCATCCATTTCTTTGTGGGGTTTTTTGTTGTTTTTTGGGAGGGAGGTGATTATGCTTTTTAATATGCTTTTGAGAATTTCAGGCTTAAAACTCAAGAGAAAAGAGATTTGTTTACATCTAGGGTGATGGAAGCTAGGGAAATAACAGGTTGGGCATGGATATCACCAATGCTTATCAGCATATAGAAGTTGAAAAAGAGGCTCCTGAGAAAGACTGGTCCAATTGTGAAGTCCCTTCCCCCCCCTTCCTGCTTAGCAAAGCTTACAGTGACCTTGAGATAAGAGTGAGGGATCCACGCAACATGGACAGAGTAGGACCAAGACAAGCAGAGCTGCAATGCCTCTTCTCTACCCTTCTGGCTACAGATTGTTCAGAAGGAGGCAGAGCGGGCTGAACGGGCCAAGGAACGGGAAAAGCGGCGAAAGGAACAAGAAGAAGAAGAACAGAAGGAGCGTGAGAAGGAAGCTGAGCGGGAACGGAACCGACAGCTGGAGAGGGAGAAACGTCGAGAGCATAGCCGGGAGAGGGACAGGGAGAGAGACAGGGACAGGGAGAGGGACAGGGGGGACCGAGATCGAGATAGAGAAAGGGACCGGGAACGAGGCAGGGAGAGGGATCGCAGAGACACCAAGCGCCATAGCAGAAGCCGAAGTCGCAGCACACCTGTTCGTGACAGGGGTGGGCGTCGCTAGCTGGAAAAACACTAGAGAGCTGCAGGTACCAGCCACTCTGCCCCAGGGGGTTGAAGGCCACAGAGGGATAGGTACAATCACCACCACCCTGTAACCAAGGGTTTTTCACACCATTTGCCCAGTGCTGAAGTATGACTGCCACCTGTCCCCACATAACCAAATGGAGCAGTGGCCATCTTTCCCCCTCATACACTCTCCTTAACCTCTCTGTTGGGGCTTAGCCCTCCCTTCCCTCTCATTTTTCCATTAAGTCTGTGAGAGGGAAGAGCCAGGTTATGGAGGGAGGTGGTTGGCCAGAGGTGGGAAACAACCAAGTCCCCCAAACCTCTTTGATTTTTCCCTCTGTCCTACTCACCACCTTCCTTGGGTACTCACAGCCTCCTCTTGGGAACAGCCGGGGCCAGGACTGGGTCACCTATGAGCTGAATCAGCATCTCTTCCTGAGTCCCCGGGCCCCTGCAGTTCCCAGTCTCTTCTGTCCTGCAGCCTTTGCCTCTTGCCCACTGGTTCCACTTTATATCCACCTTTTCCTTTCGTTCAATTTTTATTTTTATTTTTTTTATTATTAAATGATGTGGTCTATGGAAAAAAATAAAAATCTGACTTAGTTTTAACAAGTATGTGTGTGGCTTTTGTTGAAAAGGGATTGGGTGAGAAGCCAAATTGAAGAGAATGGCTGTTGCATGGAGCAGTCACGACTGAGACTACATGCACTCCAGCCAACTCCTGTTTCATGAAGCAGGAACTTCCCACAGTTTTTCATTCTTGCTGTGGGTCTTGCTCACTTTGGGGAAAGGGGAACCCCAGGGGAATGAAACACCCCATTTCCATTGCAGCAGGCCTAGAATGGCCAGCTTCCCGCTTCCTAGTCCTGTGCATTGGGCATTTGGTCACCTGCTCACCATCTTCGAGGTGCTTTCTACAACTGCCACCAGGGGGCGGTAGTCCCACACTCTGTAGGTCTTGCAAATGAGCTTCCCAAAAAGGTTCCACTGCCCACCTCCGCCCTCCCGCCGATGTCGTGCCTGCATCCCTGACCCCTTCCCTGGGCCCGGCTCGTAGGCTTCCTGGACCCTCCTGCCATCCTTCAGAGCCACCCCAGTCGACGCGCTACGATGTTCTGAAGTGCAAACATCCCAAGATGCTGTCGTCCTGCAGCTACACCGGTCCCAAAAGCCGGGTCCGGGAGCGGGGAGCCTGGTCTCCGCAGTGGGCTCCTAATTCCCCGCCTCACCGCGCGCTCGCTCTTTGCCCTGCTGCGGGCGACGTGCAGCCTGGCGCTCGCTGTTTCACCCTCCCTGACGGATCTTCGGAAATGGCCTGGCGCTGTGGCCTGGATGTTGTCCTCCTGCCCGAGTGCCCTGCCGGAGGCTGCGGGCCAGGCCCCGGAGGGGCGCCGCATCTGTATGCGCCTGGGAGCACCGAGGGGGCGAGCGCGAGGCGCCGCCCCCGCCCCCGCCGCGCGGGCCCGGCTGGCCGGGGAGGGTCGGAGGCTGGGCTCTCCCGCGCGGCGCGGAGCCGCCTCGCTCCTCCGCAGGCGGAGCCTCCTTCCCCCGCCCCCTCCGTCTCGCTCCCTTGTTCTCGCCGGGGCCGCTCAGACCTGCAGCGGAGCCGCGGCGCCCGCTACGATCTGCTTGGGGCTGCGCCCCCGGGAGCCGGCGACGGGAACGGGCGGGGGCGCTCCCCGCTGTCCTGGGCCCCTCGGTAGTGTCAGGTAAGGGCGCCTGTCCGGGAGCCTGGGGTCGGAAATCTTGGAGGAGCAGCAGGGGGCCAGCTGCCTGCGGGTATCTTCAGAGCAGTGCGCTCCGTGGCTGCGAGCCCACTGCCGGCTCCCTTCTCCCGCGCTCTGCCTCTTCCCTTGCTTCCCTCGCACCTCTTTCCTTTTCTCTATTTCTCTTCACCCTCCTTCTCTCTGCCTGTTTGCCGTCTCTTCCCGTTCACTCTCCCAATCTTCTCTCCCTCTTGTCCTGTCTTTTCCCATCTCTTTGCCTTTTCCTTCCTCCACCTTTCTCCCCTTTCCTATCTTTCTCTTTTCCCTTTCCCGCTCTCCTTTCCCTCCCCTGTTGACTCCCTTTCCGCTCTTTCCTTCCCTCTATCCTATTTCCCACTCCTCTATACCCTTCCTTCTCTCTTTCTCGTCCCGCCTCCTTCCCTGGTCCCCAGCTTCCCTCTGGCCTGTCTTCCCTCGGGAGCAAACGGACTGTCAGGTGTGTGTCTGCTCTGGGGGAGGAAGGGCGGAAACGACAGCTACCTGAGGAGGCCCCCCAGGAGGAGAGAGGAGAGAGAGAACAGTGGGAAGGGTCCTCTCCCTAGCTCCCTTCCCGCAGCTTCTCCCTACCTCTTCTGTTCGTGTCTGTTCCCTCTCCCGGAATGAAGTTCCCAAGGCCTGATATAACACCAGTGCTTTCCCCCCCATACACACATGCTGAAAGCCCCTCTGCACCCCAACCAGCTCCCAAGAAGACTGGTACCTATGACTTCTCTCTGCTTTTCAGATATCATCTCTCCATATCTCTCCCTCTCCCCCACCAACCTGCCATTCTGTGTCTCTCTCATCTTCTCTCTGTCTCTGCTGGACAACCCCTGAGTCTTGGGTCCAGCCCTCAATCACACTGTCTCTGGCCCCTGTCTCTTTGCTTGGCCTGAAACCTTGTCCCCTGTCTTCTAGCTCTGGCCCCCACTCTGCCTCATGAGACCAATCCCCCTTCAAAGGACTGCAGCTGGCATTGTGGGTTGGGGATGGGATCTGGAAAGGTGGGGGCTTCCCATAGGGGAGGGACTTTTATGGGCTCTCAACCTGTCTTAGACTGCACTCCTTGTCATCTCTCTGCCTGACCCTATAGACACTTTAAGGCCACACCTCTGAATCTAACCCCTTAATTCTAAACCCTTTCTCTGGTAGTCCCCCCTCCTCCAGTCCCCTGGCTACATGCCTGAGGTGGGAGGATGGGGCAGGATTTGGGATTCCAAACCATCCCAACATCTCCTCTTCTGTTTTCCTCCCCAGCTTTTCTACTCAGAGTTGACTGGTCAGAGATTTATCAGTTTGCAAGGCTGAGGTGAATACAGGCAGAGCCTGGGTGGAGGGAAGGAGCAAACTGCTCTCTGCCTTAGTCTGGGTTCTGGGCATTGGGGTGTCTTGGTTCTCTGGAGATCTGGTCTTTAGAATTTTGGGGAGGAATACGGTTTAGGGTTTCCTTGACCCTGAGCAGCTACCTGTCCTACAGGTGTGGATCCATGGGGTAGCCCCACTGCATCTGCCCCTCCACCCCAGCCAGCTCATGGGCCACCTGGCCCAGCCCAGCCTCAGCACCCCCGGCCAGTGAACAGAGCCCTGGCTGGAATCCAAAAATGTGGGGCCTGGTGAGGCTCCTACTGGCCTGGCTGGGTGGCTGGGGCTGCATGGGGCGTCTGGCAGCCCCAGTTCGGGCCTGGGCAGGGTCCCGGGGGCGCCCAGGGCCTGCACTACTGCGGACCCGAAGGAGCTGGGTCTGGAACCAGTTCTTTGTCATTGAGGAATATGCCGGTCCAGAGCCCGTCCTTATTGGCAAGGTAAGGATTAGCCCTTCCCATGTCTACTCTGACTACTCGGTCAGGCCCTTAGGCCCCGCCCTGCAACTTTATCACTTCTGCAATGACCTTGGTCCTTCAGGATTCCCAGCCCTCCACCCAAACCTAGACTTAACCCTCTTTCCCTGCACTGGGAGCCCTCTGCTATTTTTCCCTGACTCCTACAGCTGCACTCAGATGTTGACAGGGGTGAGGGCCGCACCAAGTACCTGCTGACTGGAGAGGGAGCAGGCACTGTATTTGTGATTGACGAGGCCACAGGCAATATCCATGTCACCAAAAGCCTGGATCGGGAAGAGAAGGCACAATACGTGCTACTGGCTCAAGCTGTGGACCGAGCCTCCAATCGGCCCTTGGAGCCCCCATCAGAGTTCATCATCAAAGTGCAAGACATCAATGACAATCCACCTGTGTTTCCTCTCGGGCCCTACCATGCTACAGTACCTGAGATGTCCAATGTTGGTGAGCACCCCCACTCTGAATGCCCCACTTGCAGTCAATAGGTGCCCATTCACCTCTCCTTCCTCCTTTGCTGTCTGCCCCAGAATTCAGCTCCTTTAACTCAGCCTCCCTCACATCTGGGACCCCTCATCTGGCCCTACTGCTGCTGAGTGGGGTACTGGGATCCCCCACAGGGACATCAGTGATCCAGGTGACTGCTCATGATGCTGATGACCCCAGCTATGGGAACAGTGCCAAGCTGGTATACACAGTGCTAGATGGACTGCCTTTCTTCTCTGTGGACCCCCAGACTGGTGAGGATGGAGCTCAGGACCCTGGTGGGCAGTCCCCAGGATAGACACCCCCTGACCTAGTATCTCTCCCTAGGAGTGGTGCGTACAGCGATCCCCAACATGGACCGGGAGACCCAGGAGGAGTTCTTAGTAGTGATCCAGGCCAAGGACATGGGCGGCCACATGGGGGGGCTATCAGGCAGCACTACAGTGACGGTCACTCTCAGCGATGTCAACGACAACCCCCCCAAGTTCCCTCAGAGTAAGGGGGCAATACTGTGCTTGAGCTGACCCTTGACCACCCCACCCCTACAGCCTCTAAAGAAACCATCCATCCTCACCCCGACCCCAGCCCACACCCTGGGAGAAGGAAGTGCTGGGGTTAGGGAAGAGGGCTGACTCTAAGAATGTGTCTCCCTCCATCCTCCCCAGGCCTGTACCAGTTTTCCGTGGTGGAGACAGCTGGGCCTGGCACCTTGGTGGGCCGGCTGCAGGCCCAGGACCCAGATCTGGGGGATAATGCTCTCATGGCATACAGCATCCTGGATGGGGAAGGGTCAGAGGCCTTTAGCATCAGCACAGATGCCCAGGGTCGAGATGGGCTCCTCACTGTCCGCAAGGTTAGCCTCCTGATTATTAACACATGCAGACTCTGCTGGATGGGTAGCTCAGTGCTAGGGCACTTACCATAGCCTGTGTGAGGCCATGGGTTCAATCCCCAGCACCACCTGCAGACTCAAGTACATCTCCTCCTGCCTCACCCACTGGGCACATTTCTAACTGGTCTCCAAGAACATACTCAGGACCCTTATGTTGGAGCACAGAGATCATGGCCATCTCATCTTTCTGGTGAGGCCCGGGGGCCTAGAAAGGGAAAATGACTGACTCACATTGTTTGATAAGTCTTCAGTGGATCTGGGGAAAGCCCTAGAGTCACAATACTATGTAATGTGCTGACCATTAGGCCACAGCCCTCCTAGAACCACCCCCTGTCAGCACCTGGTGCATATAGGGAAGGGACTCCACCTTCTTCCAGCTCACACTGGACCTGCCCTGGTTTCCACGTGCCTCACTTACTCTCTATCTCACCATAGCCCCTAGACTTTGAGACCCGCCGCTCTTACTCATTCCGTGTAGAGGCCACCAACACACTCATTGACCCAGCCTACCTGCGGCGAGGGCCCTTCAAGGATGTGGCTTCAGTGAGAGTGACTGTGCAAGATGCTCCAGAGCCACCTGCCTTCACCCAGGCTGCCTACCACCTGACAGTGATGGAGAACAAGTCTCCAGGGATCCTGGTGGGCCAGGTCTCAGCAGCTGACCTAGACTCCCCAGCCAGTCCAATCAGGTGAGCTGGGATGTGGGCTAGGGGAGGGACAGCGCCTCCAGAGAGGAGCACAGAGGTGGGTTCTTTCCACCCAAGGACATGCCCCTTTTACCTTGCCACAGGTCATACTTCCCAGCAAGACTGTCCCACCTGTGGCCTGCCTTGCTGATCTGCAGACCTGAGTCCCAGGGAAGGGTTGAAGGGCCTGGCTAACCACTACCCATCCCTGGGCAGGTTATAGTGGCACCTCCCAGTGGTAGTGCAGGCAAATGTAATTTTCTTTTTCTTTTTTTTTTTTTTTTTTTTTTTTGGTGGTACTAGGGATTGACCCTAAGGGTAGTCTATAATGAGCCACATTCCTAGTCCTTTTAATTTTTTTTTTTTAATTTTGAGACTGTGTTTCACTAAGTTGCTGAGGCTGGCCTGGAACATGCAATCCTCCTGCCTCAGCCTCCCAAGTAGTTGGGATCCAGAGCATTGCTTCTCTATCAAGCCCGAAAATGGTATGCACTACCACACCCTGCTAAGTATAATCTCATTTGATAAGTGGATTTCTATTGATCCCTCCCTAAGTGCTTCACATTTTACCCACTGGATAACATTTAATTTTCACATCAGCCCTATTAAGTAGGTGTTACCATCACCAGTTGTTTTAGAGGCCAGCTGTAAGTGGTTAAGCAATTTGCCAACAATAAGTGGTAGGGCTAAGATTCTAATCTATCTTGAGAACAAGCTATTCTTTACACCTGCATGGCCAGCATCTCTGTCATTGGGAGGGAGATGTTGGTGTTATTCCCATTTTGCAGTTAAGTAAAGAGAGGTCAGACAATCTAGCTGGGGAATATAGCTCAGTTGCTGGGGATATAGCTCAGTTGGTAGAGTGCTTGCCTCACATGCACAAGGCCCTGGGTTCAATCTCCAGCACCTGAAGAGAAAAAAAAGGAGGAGACAGTCTGCCCAAGGCCACACACCTGGTCCAAAGCAGAGCAGGGCTGAAACACAAGTCTTTGTGTCCACACAATGGAGCCCAGAAATCTGAAAGACGGGTAGTATAATCCACTTTAATCTTTTTCTGTATCTCTTTCTCCACTTTCACGAAATAGAGTCCCCCTGAAACTTAGGACAGATGTATAATGGAGGTGAACTCCTGGGAATATTTGCCTTTTAAGGAGACTCCAACATGAATTATGGCTCTGGGTGCAGGGGGCAGGCTCTGGTCAAGGATCTTGGGCCCTCTGCCCAGATGAGCCAGGAGGTCCAACAAGGTGCCCAGGAGGGAGGAAATCAAGGGAGGGAGGACAGCCACCGACATAGCCCCATCTTCCTCAGATACTCCATCCTCCCCCACTCGGATCCAGAGCATTGCTTCTCCATCGAGCCCGAAGATGGTACCATCCGAACAGCAGTACCCCTGGACCGTGAGACTCGTGTCTGGCACAACCTCACTGTGCTGGCCACTGAGCTTGGTGAGGAGTCCTGGGCCCCTGAGGAGGCAGCATCCTGCTGGCAGAGGGGCTGACCTTGAGCATGTGGGTGGGGAAGGGCAATGACTGCCATCACACCTTCACCAGTGTATCCAGTTCCTGGGTCCTTAGCCTGGATCCTCACCTCCAAGCAGGCCTCCTGTCTCCTGGGCTGGGCTGGGCTGGGCTGGGCTGGGCACAGTCGGTCTCCCTGAGCATTCTTCTGTCCCTAAATGTTCCCTTTCACCTGACTTGCACAAATTCAGAGCATAGAGCCAGTGGGTCTTGCTTCAGTGAGCCCTACCTTTCCTTCCCTATGCATCTGTCTACCCAGTACATTCGGCTTCAGGCTGGAGCTGGGGGCCAGAAAAGGGCTGGGCACCTCCTTCGGCAGCTAAGGAGGAGTGTACTAGCAGCGCCTCCCAGAGAAGGCCTGGTGGAAGCCCTCAAGGTAGGGGAGGAGTGCCAGCATCATAAGTAGGCTCTTGTGCCTCTCCCTCAGGTACCCAGTATGGCCTGGGGAGACAGGGAATCCTCCCTCCCTTCTGTGAACAGTCCTTTACCTCCTTCTTGTGCCTCTACTGTCTTCATACTCTATATCAAGGTTGGGACTGTATATGAAGATGTTTGTGTATGTCAGTGAAGAGCTATAAGTATGTGTACATGTGGGTAGAACTCAGATATGTTTATAAATCCATATGTGTGAAAAATATATGTACACACCTACACACAATTTGTGAGTATATATATATATATAACTGGAAATGTGTTAGTGATCGAGTATCTAGAATTTTATTGCTATTATTTCTGCATATGTGTGATTGGATGTATATAGTTGTATATGCAAGTAGCTGTTTGTATATACTGTATTGTGTACGTGTGTTTGTGGAGAGATAATAATGATTTGTTACTTATTGTATATCAGGCACTATTTTAAGTACCAAAAATGGATTAATTTAGTTAATCATCACCACACATTATAAGGGAGATATGATTTTTTTCCCCCATATTTAAATGAGGAAACTCAGGCAGAGAAGTTTAGTAGCTTCCCAAGGTCATTCAAAGATTAAGTGGTGGAGCCATCTGACCCAGTCGGTCTATAGTCTGAGCTGTTATCTCTTCAACCATACTGGCTTTCATGTGTGTTTAAGTGTATGTGTCTGAGTTTGTGTTTCTGTATAGACAACTGTGTGCTATCTGGCAGTGCTATGTCTGTGCTTGTAAGGATGGCCTTGTGTGTATGTGTGTGTGTGTGTGTGTGTGTGTGTGTGTGTGTAGACATACATCATATGACTGTGCCTGCCTTCCTGTATATGTAGCTGTGTATGTATGTGTCCTCGCTGTCTTCTCACTTTCCTGCCATTCCTGCTCCTACCCCTACCCAGTACTGGCTAGCATCCCTGGGCCCATCCTACAGAGAAGGAGTGGACTGTTCCCCATCCAGTCTCCAGGCTCTATCCCAGGCAGTCCACTCAGCCTCCCCTGCCAAGGCTATGACCTCAGCCCCTTTGGCCAGGGCCAGCCAGCTCTCCCCCTGCCTAGGGAAAAGACTAAAGGAATTGGGAGACTCAGCCTAGGAGAGATGACAGGTGCACCTCTGCATTCTCTCCTGGATGGCATTAGCAGTGGAAAACAAGGTAGAGTAATGGCGGGGAGCCACTAAATGAAGGGGATGGATGAATAGGGGGCCTGAGTCTGGCCATAATGGCCAGGCCATCCTGGCTTTGCACTTTGTAGACCATGAAGCTTCTTCTTCCCCAAGGTCAAATCTAAGTAATACTTATTGCTACACTATAGCCTCCTAGATCTCTGATGGAATGTGTGTGTGTGTGTGTGTGTGTCCATTCACTGGTGCTATGCGTGATCACTGTACGTGAAAATGCTTTCTTTGGGCCCTAGGTATGTGAACGGGGGTGGCACTGCATGTACTGTGTATATCAAACATCTGCTTCATATATGTTGTATTTGTTTTTTAACACTCATTTTGAATATGTGTTATGAATGTGTTTGTGTATTTCATGACCCTTGTCTGCATATAACCTGTATGTACCCCCTACTTACTTTTCATATGCTCTATGTGTCCTGCATGTGGGTTATTGTGTACATATATCATGGGTACTATATTCTACCACATATATCTTATGTACTGCAACTATCTCGGGTACTATATCAATATTCTATGTACTTGGCAATGTTGTTCCACTTGCTTCACAATGTGGTTTGCTGCTACTTCGTTATTACATGCTTATTTCATGTATTAAATGTGCATGCTGTATGTTGCACATGACATCCATGACCACACACCATGTATGTTTATGTGTAAACTTTGTTATGTGTGCATATGTGGTGTGTATGTGTTGGTGTTCTGGCTTCAGATAGCTCCGCACAGGCCTCCCGTGTACAAGTGGCCATCCAGACCCTGGATGAGAATGACAATGCTCCCCAGCTGGCTGAGCCCTATGACACCTTTGTTTGTGATTCTGCAGCCCCTGGCCAGGTGAGCAGCTGAGGCAGGTGGGTTGGACTCTCAAGGCGTCTCTCAAGCAGCACTCCATTCAAGGCCGTTTTTCTTCCTCCCAGTTGATTCAGGTTATCCGGGCCCTGGACAGAGATGAAGTCGGCAACAGTAGCCGAGTCTCCCTTCAAGGTCCTCTGGGCCCTGATGCCAACTTTACTGTCCAGGACAACCGAGGTGGGTGGCCTCCTGCAGCCATAACCATGCCCATGCCTGACTCTCCCTCCTCTCCTCCTCTACCACCCAGCCCAGCCTGCCTGACCCCTGCCCCTGTCAGGCCTTCCACCCAACAGAAGGTAGGTTTATACTCATTTGCTCTTTGCAAACCTTCCCATGGGAAGCTGGCTTTAAGGGCTGGACTAATCCTACCAAGAAGATGTCCACAAGGTGCCCCAACACCTTCCCTTTCCCACAGATGGCTCCGCCAGCCTGCTGCTGCCCTCCCGCCCTGCTCCACCCCGCCAGGCCCCCTACCTGGTTCCCATAGAACTGAGGGATTGGGGGCAGCCAGCACTGAGCAGCACTGCCACGGTGACTGTCAGTGTGTGCCGCTGCCGGCCTGATGGCTCCGTGGCATCCTGCCGGCCTGAGGCTCAGCTCTCACCTACTGGGCTCAGCACTGGCGCCCTGCTTGCCATCGTCACCTGTGTGGGCACCCTGCTTGGTGAGTCAGGCCACTGTGGGCCATAGATCCTGGCCTGAAGGGGAATGGAGAAGAAACAGCTCCCTGGACATAGGGCTTTAATTGACCCCTAATGCCAGGATTTTCCCACTACCTAATGTATCCAAGAGAAAAGTTCGATCTTCATGTCCCTGATCTGCCAATCCATAATGACAGTAACAAACCATAAGAATTATTTACTGAGCTCTTACTCTGTGCCAAGTGTGGTGCTGGGCACATCACTAGTGATACTTAATTTTTATCTTTTCAATAACCCTAAAAGGTAAATAGATTTTCTGGTGTTTTTGTTTGTTCATTTATTTCTTGGTGCTGGGGATTAAACCCAGGGTAGTATTCCATTGAGCTACATCCTCAGTCCTTTTATTTTTTTATTTTTGAGACAGGGTCTCACTAAATTCCTGAGGGTCTCACTAAGTTGCTGAGGCAGACTTCTAACTTAAAATCCTTCTGCTTCAGCCTCCAGAGTAGCTGGGATTACAGACATGCACCACCATACCTGGCAGTTTTCTGTTTTCCACATAAGTAAACCAAGGGTCAAAGAGATTCAGAAGAGTTAAGTGACTTCCCATGGTCACACTGCAAGTGAGAAGTGAAGTCAGGATTCAAAGCAAAGATCATCAGATGTCAAACCTAGGATTTGCGATCCCTAGGCCACTGTGCCTTCTCTTCCACCTGACCTATCTGTGTTTAGCATGGAAACGCTGCTCTGTTCCTGCTGTTGGCTCAGAGGCCTGTGTGCACTCTCCTGCAGCCCTAGTGGTGCTCTTCGTGGCCCTGCGGCGGCAGAAGCAAGAAGCACTAATGGTACTTGAGGAGGAGGATGTCCGCGAGAACATCATCACCTATGATGACGAGGGGGGCGGCGAGGAAGACACGGAAGCCTTTGACATCACGGCTCTGCAGAACCCTGATGGGGCTGCCCCACCAGTTCCTGGGCCACCAGTGCGTCGCGACGTGCTGCCCCGGGCCCGGGCTGCGCGCCAGCCCCGACCACCGGGTCCTGCTGACGTGGCCCAACTGCTTGCATTGCGGCTGCGTGAGGCGGACGAGGACCCCAGTGTGCCCCCCTACGACTCGGTGCAGGTGTATGGCTATGAGGGCCGGGGCTCCTCCTGCGGCTCCCTCAGCTCCCTGGGCTCTGGCAGCGAGGCCGGTGGCACCCCTGGCCCCACGGAGCCCGTGGACGACTGGGGTCCGCTCTTCCGCACCCTGGCGGAGCTATATGGGGCCAAAGAGCCCCCAGCCCCCTGAGCGCCGGCCCTGGCCCTGCCCGCCGCGGTGGGGCAGCCAGTACAGGTCCTCTGAGTGAGCCCCACAGGGTCCAGGCAGGCCGCAGCAGCCAGAGGCCTCAGGCTTCCTCCCGTCCCTGTGTCCCTCCTTCCTTCCCTGGGGCTCCCTTGCCCTTACCTCCCACTTGGAGGATCTCTCTCCAGGGATCTCTGTCAGTGCCACTTTCCCTTTGTCCTGGTCTGGGTTTTATGGCTCTGACCCTGAACCTCTGTTCTCTCACTGTGATTCCGCTTTCTCTGTGACTGTTTTGTCTCTGTGATTCTAAAGCTCTCACATACTGTCTCTCTTGCCCACAAATATGCTCTGTGTCTGTCTCCCACCCACACTTCCCCCCTCTCTGAGTCCCTGTGACTGGCTTTTTTTGGTTTTGGTTTTGGTTTTCTGTCGTCCATCCCAAAAGCAAGAGAAACTTCCAGCCACTGCTGCCCACCCTCCTGCAGGGGATGCTCTGCCCCAGGTCAGTGTCTCTAGACAGCTTGGCCAGGGGTGGATAGAAGCCCTTCCCTAATTTCTGCCTCTCACTGCTGCTCCTGTCCTAACAGACCTGCCCGCATGGTTCCATCCATCACTCATGGCCTCATCCTGGCTCCACTGGCCTCCAGCAGAAGGAGGGAGCCAGCCTGCCTCCCAGGGGGAGAGCTCCAGCCCCCTCGTGGCCGCCTCCCTGGAGCTCTGCCCAGCTGTCAGCCTGCCCTGGGCATCCCAGCTCTGGGCATTGTCTTGTGTGCTTTCCAGGCCCCAGGGAGAGGGGGAGTAAAGGAGGAGGCAGCTGGGGAAGGGGAAAGAAGGAGGAAGGGGAGGGGCCTCCATCTCTAATTTCATAATAAACAAACACTTTATTTTGTAAATCCAGAGCCCTGCTTCTGTTTCTGCACTCAGGTTTCTGGACAGAGCTCCCTTTGTACTAAAGGATGGAAGGAGAGGCTTAAACCTATACCTTTCCAGCTCATTCTTTCTCTTTGGGGGATTTCAATTCAAGACCCTCTAGATAGAAGAGAGTTTGGGTCATTGCATTCGGAGAGCAAGGAGATAATGGATGCACCCGCACTCCTACTACCAACTCTCCCTGTTCCCTCTTATCAGACTGTCCAAGAAAGTGAAAATGTGAGGACTAGCAAGAGGGGAAGGTGGAGCTGGGCACCTGCAATCTCAATGACTCAGGAGGCCAATATGAGAAGTGAGAAGATCACAAGTTCAAGACCAGCTTTAGCAACTTAGTGAGACCCTAAGAAACTTTGTAAGACCCGCCTCAAAAAATAAAACGATGCCAGGCGTGGTGGCGCATGCCTGTAATCCCCGTGGCTTGGGAGGCTGAGACAGGAGGATCTCGAGTTCAAAGCCAGCCTCAGCAACTGCAAGGCACTAAGCAATTCAGTGAGACCCTGTCTCTAAATAAAATACAAAATAGGACTGGGGATATGGCTCAGTGGTTAAGTACCCCTGAGTTCAATGCCCAGCACCAAATAGAAAAAGAACTTGGGGCGGGGGGCTGGGGATATAGCTCAGTTGGTAGAGTGCTTGCCTCGCATGCACCAGGTCCTGGGTTCAATCTCCAGCACCATGTACACATACACAAAAAAATTGGCAAATCTTACTGTATGTTATTTGTGCCTCGATAAAATTTACACAAAAATTATTTTTAAAAAAGAAAGAAAAAAAACTTGGGGGTGATTAATTGAAAAAAAAAAAGAACTGGGGATGTGGAATGCTCAGTTGGTTGAATGAGATTGCTTTGCAAGTACAAGGTCCTAGGTTCAATCCCCAGCACCACTAAAAAAAAAAAAAAAAAAAAAAAACACTTAGGAATTACTGGAGCAAAGAGGAAATGACTTATGGCCATTCCCAAGTATTGAGATATTGGAATGAGATGTTGGCTTTGCCTGTCCAGCTCTCCCCATGCCCTCCGGAGTTCCTCCCCCAACTCAAAATTCACTTAGAGGAATTTTCCCTCTAATTTTTTCCCATGATATTGGGGATCAGATATTGGGATTCAGTCCTAGGGGTACTTTACCACTGAGCCACATCCCCAGAACTGTTTTTTCTTTTTTTCCTTTTTTAGCCAGATCTCACCAAATTGATGAGTCTGGCTTCCACCTAGTGATCCTCCTGTATTGGCCTCCTGACTCACTAGGATTACAGGCATGGGTCCTGCCTGGCTTCCTCTAAGTTTTGACAGGGCACAGGGAAACAGACTTGTCAGCAAGACCTATGGGCTAAAGTCTGGCCTTAAATACTTCATTTTTTGGAAGGACAAAACCTGTCAAAGTGAATGAGGATGGACAAGACTGTGGGAAAAGAAGGGAGGGGAAAAAAGGGAAGAAGAGACAAGAGAAGGAGATGCAAGAAGAGGGGACTCCCCTCCAGTTCTGCTCTCCTGGGTTCAGTCTGCTTTGTCCAGTTTGGAAACGAGAGGGGCACAGAAGATCTCAGGGGAGCCAGTGTGGTGGCACATTCCTATAGCCCAGTCCTTGGGAAGCTGAGGCAAGAGGATCTTAAATTTAAGGTCAGCCCGGGCAACTTAGATCCTGTCCCAAAATAAAATAAAAAGGGGTGGAGACATAGCTTAGTGGTAGAGCACCCCTGGGTTCAATCCCTAGTACTGCAAACAAAAATAAATAAATAAAAATAAAATCCAGGGGTACAGATTGTGTGCAGTCTGCAACAGCATTCCCAGCACCCAATACCTCCTTCCGAGGCTGGGGAGTGGGCAAGGGGTAAAGAAGGTTGCTGTGGAAACCACTGGCCAGATTCTTTGACCCTGGCTTGAAGCACATCCCCCTATACTGGGCAACTTTCTGTGGCCCCCTTCCCTATCACAAGTCTTCCCTGCCTGTCCCCAGGGTTTTCCTTTCAGGGCCTCCTTGATCTTTCCTTCCTGTCTACCAGACACCTGCTCAGGCCCAAAGTCTGGAGGTTTCCTCCTGTCTGGCCAGCACCTGCTTGGAGGAATTCTTAGCCTGGCATACCAGTGTGTTCAGGAGGGAGAGAAAGCAGCTGGAAAGCTTTATGAGTGGGGTAAGAGGAAAGTTTCAGTCACCTCCCTTTAGGCCCCATGCCCTAGGCCAAGCCTGCTTTCCCTCCTGGCCTGGGAAAGGGCAGTGTTCCTCCTGGAGCTGTCACCCAGGTCAGGGCCCACTGGATAGTAGGAGGGAAGTCATGAGAGACACGATAGGACAGGCATAGCCACCTCCTTCATTCTCCAGAGGGAGCATCAGAAAGGAGATTCTGGAAAGGGGGAAAAGGGGGAGGAAGTCTGGCAGAGGCAATGACAGGCCCAGGAGGGTGGAGAGCAGGGGTGGGCTCAGAGGGATAGCTCCAGGTCTTGGCCAGATGAGATGCGTGGGGGCAGCTTACCTGAGTTCACCCCTCCAGACCCTATGGGTTCATTCATCCCCAGCCACAGGCAGGGGATGGGCCCAGCACCTCTCTCCTTCCATATCACTCCCCAGAAGCCTGCAGGGAAGAGAGCAAAGGCCGGCAGAGGTCCTGGGAGGGGAGGCTGTGCAGAAATCACAGGCTGTGGGCCAGGCGTGGTGGCAAACACTTGTAATCCCAGCAGCTCAGGAAGCTGAGACAGGAGAATTGTGAGTTCAAAGCCAGCTTCAGCATCTTAGTGAGGCCCTAAGCAACTCAATGAGACCCTGTCTCTAATAAGATATTAAAAAGGGCTAGGGATGTGGCTCAGTGGTTAATCTGCCCCTGGGTTCAATCCCCAGTACCAAAAAGAAAAAAAAGCACAGGCTCTTGAGGAGGCTGGATCTAAGCCCCCTTGCTGCCACCTATTGCGTAACCCAGGCAAGTCACATAACCCTGTGAATCTGATCTCCCCTTTGATAAGTGAGGAACATTTCACCTCAAAGGCTGCCATGAGAACTGCACTTAGAAGAGAAATCATCATAGTTATTATAGTCAAGGCCCGGGGACAGGGATGCTGGGGCAGGGCTGCTGAAACAGCCCATCACCACCAAGGGGCGTCCATCACTGCACCAGCCCCAGGAGCTGCTCTCCTGCTGGCTGTCCTACCTCACCAGGGTGAAAAAGAGACCAAGAGAAAGAGACAAACACTCTAGAACTGAGAGAGAGGACAAAGCAGGAGAGAATAGAGACTGGGAATGGGCTGGGGAAACAGAGAAAAGGATGGCAAGAAAAGAATAAGGTCTAGCACCTAGCACGGCAGCTGGTGTGCAGTAGGCAGGCAGGAAGAGTTTGCCAAGAGTTAGCTTGGAGCCAAGAAAGAAGCAGGACCAGCCCACTGAGTGTCAATAGGAACATGTTAGACACCTTTAATAACTCCAGGAGGAAGAAAGGGTGGAGACTTGGAACAAATGAAGCAGGCAACCTAAAAGGGTTGGAGCCAGTGCGGAGAGGCTGCTCCCAGCAGAGCTCCCCGCTGCTGCCTCCCCTACCACCCACCCTGAGCATGGGTTCCCCAAGTTCTGCTACTTTTTACAGTGTCTCAGTTTTGGCTGGCATCCTGGAGTCTTCTGGTGACAGCTCCCCTGGCCTTGAAGAGATTTTTCCACATTCCCCAGCTCTGTGGGCCTGGTTGGTCTTCCCTTCTGGCTCTGGCTCTGGAAGCTTCTGCAGCTCCATGTACAGCACACAGGCATCATTGCGTGACACGTATTCCCATCCACTTTCCCGCACGTGGAAAAGGTCAACTGAGCCTCCTGAGTAGGCATCACGGTGGGTGGCGTGGGCCACAGCGCAGCGGGCCAGGGCATAGGCTTCCTGGATGGTCATGTCATAATGGTAGCTGCGGTCTAGCACACCATAGGCATAGGGAGATCCGGAGCCCACAGAGAATATGTCCCCCTGTAGGCGGGTACCATCGCTGTAGACATAGAAGAGGGCAGGGCCAGAGCGGTCCCAACCACACAGGGCAGTGGCCACACACAGATCCAGCCCCCGGTAGCGGGACATCATGACTGACAAGAGCTTGGCTGCACTAGCCACACTGGGCAGCTGACCCTCCCTCAGCTCCCGAAGCCGCAGCTCCCGCTGTAGCACTCGGTACCATGTGGCGCAGTCAGCGGAGGTACCAGAGGTGGTACCCAGGAGGTGCTGGTGCACAGGGATCACCTTGAGAGAGGATGGACAGGCCACATAGCTGCCACAGGAGGAACGTGTGTCGGCTGCAGCGATGACTCCATGTCGGAAGCGGAAGGCCAGGGTGGTAGTGCCATGGGCTAGCCTGGGGCCATGCATCTGCAGGAAGGTTTTCAGGTCACAGCCACGAGGTACAGCCCAGTCACCAGCCTGAGGCAGGTGAGTGGATGGTCCCTGGGTTTCAGGGGACTGCCACTTACACACATCCTGTAGAGCCATCCTCGAAGCTGAGTGAAGGTTGGAAAGAGCAGGACAGCAATTTGGGTTCTGGGGTCAAGTAAGGAAAAAGGGACGCTACAGGGAAGCTGGGCTGCAGCCAGAATTGGTGAGCAACGCATGTGAGCTGACGCTTCATTTCTCCCCAACCCCAAATCAGGCTTTGGGATTGGCTGGTGGAACAGCCTCCTCTTCCTCAGAGGGGAGATAGTATGAGGCTGTGGAGTTTCCAACAGTGGGAGGGTGCTGCCCATCAGTCAGACCTTCACTTTCCGCTGCCCATGATGCATCTGAGAGTCACCCACAGAGTCTCCTGTCTGTCATCCTATAATTACCTAGAGGAGAGGAGCTGGGGTGACTGCAAAGGAAAGTAGACACAAGAGGAAAGAGCCAAGCTGGGTCCTGTGTAGGACATTGGGCATGCAAAGACAAATAAAGGCCTGTCACTAGCCTGAGAGCATTCCCAGCCTAGGAGGATAAGACAACTCAGTGCTCTGAGAGACTCAGAATAAAATGTTGTGGAGCCACTGAGGCAGGAGACCTTGATGTTGGGAACTCTCTTCAGAGATATGAGACCAGGGAACTCTCAGCTCCCAAAGGCTTAGCTCATACTTTCAACTAATGGGCAAGATGGGAGAAAAATAAATGAGCTGAAGCAAGCAGAAGAGAAAACGGCTCAAATACTTTCCAGAAAGGCAGGTTACAGAGGAATGAAGGTGAAGGGAAACTAGAACCTGGAGGTCTCATTCTCCTCCATTTTGGGGCTGAAGATATCATTCTATCTATACACAAGAATGGCATTCTTTGCCAGGTGTGGTGGAGTATGCCTGTAACCCCAGTGACTCTGGAGGCTGAGTCAGGAGGGTCACAGGTTCAAAGCCAGCCTCAGCAACTAAGCAAGGCCCTAAGCAACTTAGCAAGACCCTGTCTTAAAATAAAATATAAAAAGTGATGGCTCTGTGGCTCTGTGGTTAACACCCCTGGGTTCAATCCCTGGTACCAAATAAATAAATACATAAACAATTTTTTTAAAATGGCATTCCTGGGCTGAGATCGTGGCTCAGTGGTAGAGCACTCACCTAGCATGTGAGAGGCACAGGGTTCGATTCTCAGCATCACATAAAAATAAAATAAGAAAATAAAGATATTGTGCCCACCTATAACTAGAAAATAAAAAATAAAAAGACTGAGTCTTGGACTTTTTTTTTAAGATAGACAGCCACCTCCCTAGATAGAAACATTATCTGATATGGGCCAAGAGGAGAGGCTGTGGGTTTGTTTGAGAAGCAGTGGGAACCAGACCTCCTTTACAAAGCCATCTTGGACCCCCAACCTCACCCCAATCCATACTGACCTCCTTCCCTATCTCTGAACTATACCACTTATCATTTGTACTTCTCCTTTGTAGAGTCCCTCCATAAGTAGTGACCTTGGAGAAAAGAAGTAATCTAAGGTAGGTCAGGAACAGATTACAGAGACTTTCATTACCATGTTGAAGGTATGAACTTTATAGGACCTTTTTTTTTCTCCCCCCAGTACTGGAGATTGAACGTACGGCTTCAAACACACTAAGCAAGGGTTCTATCACTGAGCTACATTCCCAAAGTGTTTTTTTTTTT